AGCCAGTGCCCAGCCGGCCCCGGGGCCTCCATACCCAGCCACACGTCCCCGAAGCAGCCAGTGCCCAGCCGGCGCTCGAGCGTGATGGAGCTGCGGCTGATCTCCCAGGCGTCCTTGGCCAGGCCCAGCGTTTGCGGCCTCATGGTGGTGCAGGCCGCCGTGAGCAGGTAGCACAGACCGTCGTTCACCTCTGGGGAGGAGGGTGTTGGAGGTCACAGTCGGGCTGGACCGGCCCACATTCCTCGTCCCACCTCAGTCTCCAAGATCAGCTATAAGGGCCTAGGCCACGGGTGAGGTCACAGGCCAGGGCAGAAGGCAACGCCGCCCACTGAGGGGGTGAACATGTTCGTGCCCAGAGAAGGAGGTGCATCAAGAGGGCGAGGTGACCCCTGTAAGGACTGGGGACTTCCCATGGAAGGTGGCCTCCAGCTGGGCTCCTAGAGGAAGGTGGGATTCTGACAGGTGGAAATGGAGTTGACGATTCCACTCAAAGATGTGGACATGGGACCCTCACTCTTCCATGGCCCTCATCCTTTCCCTCATCAACCAAAGCAGAAACCTGGGCATGAGTCCCCCTTCCCCTTAACCCTGCAGCCCAGCCCATCCTCCACGTCAGTGCTATTCTGCCTCCTACCCGGCTCAGACATTAGGGGGGCGCCCTTGCTCTGGTATGAACGGCCTCACGCCTGTTTCCTCTGGAATCCACAGAGCAGTATCCCGGGCGAGAGCCTAGACTGGGTTCTGGTCCTGGCCTGCCACTCCCGCTTTGGAGACCCTCCTCTGGGCCTTGGCGCAGTGGGTTGGGGCGGGGATCTGCAGCACGGGACAGCCCCAGGGGCCCGCCTCACCCATGTAGTGCTGCACCAGCTCCTGCACCGAGTCAAACTGGGCCCTCGCGGTGATGTAGTAGCCACCCGTGTCCAGCTTTCGGATCTTGTAATGCTTCACATGATCGCCTCTGGCCTGGTCCCAATCCCGGATGGACAGAGAGTAGGCACCTGTTGGGAAGGATCACCTGGCCTGCCCCAGTCTGGAAGCAGGAAGAGGCCCAAAAGACTGGGGACTCTGGAGTTGGAAGGCCACATCCCTCGAACCCAGTCCCAGTCTTGGCCCTGACCCAAGCCCCACCCCCCCACTCTTACCCCCACCCACCCTCCTACCCCAACCCATTGCTTTTAGCCCCACCAAGGCTCCTCGCCCCACCCTAATGGCTAGGCTGTCCAGGTCCAGGGCCAGCCATGGCACAGTCCCCACCTTTGGTTGTCTCACTCTCCCGAATGAGAAAGGCTCCCCGGGGGTTGCCAGCGGAGAGCAGCTGCCTCTCGGAATCCTTCCTTCCCATCTTTCCAAAGTACCACCTGCAGGGAAGGGCCGGCAAGCGTCAGCTACACACCCAGTTCAACTCCCAAGTCAGCCTCCTGGGAAAAGTCACCTCACAAGCCAAGATTCAGTGTCCTCATCCTCGAAAGGGGGCTCATACACCTGCTTCAAGCCTGGGTCTGAGGTTCACAGAAAAGGGGAATTTGAATGCTTGGCACACAGTGGGTGCCCAATAACGACTAGGCTTCTCCTCTCCACTCTCTGGGTTCCTCTTGAATTAAAATTGCTAGAACCCCAGTCACCAGTCCATTCGTCCATCTCATTACTGCTCCTCCAGAAGTTCATTTTACAGATGAGGAGCTTGCGACTGGGAGAGGAGCAGTGAGCCCCTGCAAGGCCTGCAATGAGCTGTATTGGAAATCTTTTGCAGCCCGCCCTAGTTCTTCCCACACCACCCAGGGAATCTCTCGGATCCCTCTCCCCACACGCACTGGGAATCCCTTTCCTCCTTTGGCTTCCAGAACAACACTCTTTCCTGCTTCTCTTCCCCTCTTTCTGCCTGCTCCTGCCTGCTTCTGACTGCTGCTTTTCTTCCACTCTCTTAAATTTGAATATTGTTCTAAGTCTCAACTTCAACTTCAGAGCTCAAGCATTCCTGCTCTCTCTTGGATGTTCTTCGGGGACTGAATTGTAGCCTCAAACCAACTGTGGAAGTACACTGGGGAGATGAAATGACCACAGGTCCCATAGAAGAATAAGATGTCATTTGATCACAAAATTGGCCCATGACCATCTTGGGCTCAATTAAAAGAAGCATCGTTTTCAAATCAAGGAAGGTGGTAGTCTCTGTGAACTCTAAAATTGTCATCCCACACCTGGGTACTAGGCACATTTTGGGGATCAGGGGAAGGCATTGGCAAATGAAATGTCCAGGAGGGTAGGCGGGAAGGGGAAGGAAAGAACTGTTGAAAGACTGTGTAGACAATACACATTTCCAAGTTATTTTAGAGCCCTGCACCCACCCATACCCATGACATTAGCTACTTCCTTAATAATTAATGTAATAACAACAGCACTTATTTTGTGTCAGGCTCTGCTTTAATACATACATGTATTCATTTAATTCTTATAACAAGGTTGTGAGGTAAGTACTATTATTAATTCCCATTAGACAGATGAGAAAATTGAGATACCTTGTGGTTAAGCAACTTGCCCAAAGCCACAGGCTCTTAAGCTGTGTTGCCAGACAGGAACCTGAGCTGTCTGCTCTAGGGCCTGCACTCTTAACCACCACACTATTCTTAACAGCGACACCGCACTGAGTGCCTCTGCCTCTCAGGGCTTCGGGACACTGCCCCCAAGATGTGGACACAAGCATGAACCCCACGCACCTCTCATCTTCTGCATCATCACCCCTCCTCTTCTCCATGCCTCCTACCACCTTCACAAAGTCCTCACTCCTCTTGAGCTCTGGACCCTGTCCACACCCCTCTGCTCAGAAACACGTCTCTCCCACCAACCAGCCCCCATCAGCAGCCTCCATCCCACCAACCTCTACATATGCCTACATTTCTTCCTTCCCCAAAGGAGTGTTCTAAGCCCTATCTTTTTTGTTGTTATTATTACTGATCTCAGAAAGGACAAGAGAGAGAGAGAAATATCAGTGATGAGAGAGAATCATTGATCGGCTACCTCCCACGTGTCTCCACTGGGGATCGAGCCCACAACCCGGGCACATGCCCTGACCAGGAATCAAACCGTGACCTCCTGGTTTATAGATCGATGCTCAACCACCAAGCCACGTGGGCGGGGCTAAGCCCTATCTTGCCATAAACATTCTGTTATACTTCTCACCTTCTCTTCTCTTGAAAAAGCACTTTCACACTTGGGTCTCCACTTCCTCACCTCCTACTCCTTCCCAGGCTCTGCAGTCTGGCCTTCACCCCACTTCACACAGACATGTCTCACAAAGGTCACCCCCATTGCCAAATCCAGTGGAAGCCTCTGATACTCATTTCTCTTGTTTCCTGAAACCTCTCCTCCACGCTCTTGGCTGCTCTGACATGGCCTGGCCTGGTTTTCCAGCGGCTCCTTCTCCTCCAAGAGCAGCTTTCTTCAAAGTTGGGTCTTAGGGCCAATCTCTCTCACATTCCTCCCTCTTCCTTCAGCCTCCTACACAGCTTTAATTATCATCTCCACTCTGAAGAGTCCCAAATTTCCACCCCAGCCCCAGGGGTGCCAGAGGCAAGAGCCACAGCAAACAAACGAAGAGCCTAGTGCCAATTAGAAGATGCCCCTTCCGCTGGACCAATTTGGGGCTTGGCTTGGCTTGGCATGGGCTGGACACCTCTCATGCAAAGTACAACCGAATCTACTTGCTGGTCGTCTCCTCCAGCTGGGTATTCCCACCCATGAAACTTAACCCAACAAGTCCACCCTAGAAACCGACCCGCTCCTACGTTCCCACTTTAGCAAATGGCACCATCACCCACCCAACTTCTCAAGAAGACTGGGCCACCCTTGACTCCGCCCACTCTCCATGTCCCAGTGGCAAATCAGTCACCAAGTCTTGCTAACTCTCACTTTGCAGTCTCTCTAATCTTTCCTTTTCATATGTGTGTGTAGATTTTTTTTAAGTATGAGCCTCAGTTTCCTCACCTGTAAAATGGGGACAATAATAATATCAATAGTGTGAGAAGTAATCAAGGTAGGTAATGTACCTACAGTAGTATCTCAAGTATATAAAGGTATTCTGTGAAAAATTCCCTGCCTCCTTAGTAGAATTAATTCTAAGTAATACTCCCTTACATTTGTTTAGCAGTTTGCAATTTTTTAAAGCCCATGCACTGTTGTTATCACTGAGAGACAATATGTATAATGCTCAGCAAATGCAGCCAGATGATCTGGGTTCAAACACCAGCTCCACCTACTTACTCGCTATGTGAACTTGGGCAGGATATTTTTGTTGTTGTTGTTAATCCTCATCTGAGGATGTTTTTCCATTGATTTTTAGGGAGAGTGGAAGAGAGCAGGAAAGACAGAGATAAATATCAATGTGAGAGAAACACATCGATTGGTTGCCTCCTGCACGTGCCCTGACCAGGGCCTGGGCTGGGGAGGAGCCTACAACCGAGGTATGTGTCCTTGACCAGAATCAAACCCGGGACCCTTTGGTCCGCAGGCCGACGCTCTTTCCACTGAGCCAAACCAGCTAGGTCTTGGGCAGGATATTTAACTTCTCTGTGCCTTAGTTTCCTCATTTGTAAAACAGAATAATATTAATTCCTAACTCCATTAATACACAGAAAGCACTTTGAATAGTGCCCAGAACATAGTACATGCTAGATAAGTATCATCTATTATTATCATAATTATTATCTTCTTTTATTCTCACAATGACCTTACAGAATTATAGATAAGGAGATAGTGTGGAGCTGTGGCTTGCCCAAGAGGTGACCTTGAGTTTGACCTTCAGAATACTGTTCATAGGTCTGATCTCCTCTCAACCACTACTCACTCTTCAGCCTGGATGGAGTCCACAGGGGCCACATAGTTGCTGGGGATGTAGCCAGTTTGTCCAGAGCTGAGGGACCGGGCCTCCCACCAGTCACCTTCACTGCAGGCACAAAACAGGGGGTGTCAGCAGCAACCTGGGGCCAGGCAGGGCCACACAAAGGCCCAGGTGGAGACTGAACCCGCTAATCCCTTACCTGAGACTCCCCCCACCCCAGGGCTTTTGTCTGTTCCGACCCCAGCCACTACAACTGTCCCAGGAGGCTGTTCCCTGCAGGAGGAATGTGTTTGGGAATATCTGGGCCTTCTGACTTTCTCCTCTGGCTCCAGTGCTGGGCTGGGGTTTGGGCAGGCAATGGGACAGCTAACTAGGTCACTCCCCACTGAACCCCACCCCCAGTGGCCACATATTTCCTTCTGGACAAAATCCAGACTCCTCAACATGGCATTTGAAGCCCTGCAGATATGCTCCCACCCACCCCTCCAGCCTCTGCTCTCTCTGTTCGCACCTCATTCTTTATGATCCACCTAGACCAAACCACTTGGTAGTTTCCAGAAGTTATCATTTATTCTCATTCTCTCTCTTTCTTCTTCTTTTCTCACCTCTCCCTTCAAGGTCTATTCATTTCTCTAGTCTCGGCTTAGAAATCACCTCCTCCAGGAGGCCTGCCCTGACCACCACCACCCTGGAGACCATGTTTGGTATTCTTTCTGTGCCCACAGTTCCTCATGCTCCCCTCACATAGTAGCAATCACCCAGGGTTGTTATTGCCATGTGTCTGTGTCTCCAACTAGGCTGGAGATTTCTGAGGATAGGGACCAGGTAGAATTCCTCTTTGAGTCCTGCTCCCAATCCAGGCCATGCCCTGAGCTGAGTGGCCTGGTCACTTACGTGTTGTTCAGGATGTGGAACTTCTCGCCCTTGGTGAAGGTGAGGTCATCTTCCGTCCGGGCCTCATAGTCATACAGAGCAACGAACAGGGTCACCCCAGGCCCTGTAGAGTCAGGGCTCCTCAGTAGGGTAGGGCACAGGATGGGGGGCACCAAGGGGCTGCCTCCCTAGAGTCCTGATCCCCAGCCAGGCGTTGTGCCTCCCCACTGCTGTGCCCTGCTTCCCAAAGGCCTCTGGAGTCCCATGGATTTCCAATTCAGGCTTCGCATCTTGGATTCAGGACATACACTTTCAAGCCCATCCCTCCCAACCTGGAAAGTCGCCAGATCACCGATTCCTCCTCTTCCACACCAAGAAGATTTCCCTTTTGCAGGGTCTTAAGGGTCCCTCTCTCGGACTGGGACAGAGCTGTGTTTCCCCCCTCAGACTGGGGTTCCTGAGGGTAGAGCTGTACGTATTTCCTCAGAGCGCACGCTGAAGGCAGGGCTGTGTTTCTCGTGCCATAATGGAGGCTCCCGAGGACAAGTCCACACCGTCCCTTCTCCAGGGTCTAGGCCGTGCCTGCCTCCAGCTACTGAACTCACCTGAGATGGCCCTGATGGTGCCCCCATCAAGGAAGGCGGGGCTGGTGGGCTGAGGGGAGAAGTTGTTGTAGTTGGGAATATGGGCCAAGGAAGACATAGGCCGGGCCTGAGTAGGGTCAGGCCCATAGCGGTCTGCAGCCCCGTAGCTCCTGAAGTCCCCTTCCAGGCCAACAGCCTCCTTGGGCCCTGGCTCCACCTTCTTGCAAAACACACAGCCCATTCCAGGTGCCCTGCTAAAAAAATGGGGGCAGATAGGCCACCCTATGCACATATGCACGCATGCATGTGCTCACGTACACACACATACACGCACATATGCATGCATGCATGTGCGCACCTGCACACACACATAACACACCACCAGGTCCAGCTGCCTAGCGGGTGACTCTGTCACAAGCATGCAGCTTTCCCTCTCAGGTCTGGAGTAGGGGCTCCCCCCTCGTGAGGGATAGAGGTGGGCAGGGCTACCACTGGCTCTAACTACCAGCTGCCTTAGTGTGTTTGCAGAGAGAATGTGTATTCTCAGCGGGGCTGATTTTCTGCTTCCCAATGTTGCTGTGCTTATTTATATATTTTTTGCCTCCTATTGCTTCAGTATTTTGTATTTCTGTGACTCCTTAAGAGCGCTTGTGTGTGTGTCTTTTGTGTGTCTCTAAGAATTTGTGAGTTTGTTTGTAGGTTTGCATCCATGTGTGTATGCAGCCTTTTGTGAATGTCTGTGTATGTAAGTGCATGTACCTATGAATGTGTAAGTGCGTCTGTGTGTGCTCGTGTCTTGTGTGTACATATGTACGTGTTTCTTGTGTGTGTGCCTGTGTGTGTGTGTTTCTGTGCATGCAGGTCTGTGTGAGTAGGTGCCTCTGTGTGGTTACCATGTGCACAGTCCTGTGTGGGAGTGTATGCGTGTGTCCGTGTGTGCGGCTCTGTGGAAGTATGTGTGAATGTGTGTCTCTGTGTATGTGCATGTTATGCATGGATATGTGCTTGTGAGTGAGTGTGTGAGGGCTATGTGCCTGCACCTGGAGATTCCCTGCAGAGGGGATCAAGGCCATTTCCTGTCTCAGGTCCAGCCTCTGGCTTCTCAAGCTGCCTCATTCTGGCTCCCCCATCTGTTACCTAGCAACAGGGCCCTTGTAGGAGGAGGGGTCTGTGAGGAGTTGTGGGGCCCAGGAAGGCCACCCTGCCCGAGTTCCCAGCCCTCAAAGTCGATGAGTCTTGGGAAAAGGTTCCTGAGTATGGGGAGCCATCAGGCCCCTCCCTCCTCACTCACCCCTCAGGCCCCTACTCCTCGGTCAGTGGGGCTGCAGCATGGTCCTTAGGAGGGGCCAGAGACCTGAGGGGAGACAGAAGGACATGGAAGATGAAGGTTCTGCCAATGTTCCTGCAAGCCAGCTGCTAGCTCCTGCCTCTTCAGGAAGCCAGAAGGCCTGGGCTCTGCCCCCGCATGACCTCTGCCTTCATTTTCCTTCCCACTGCCCCGACGCACTTACACATTCACTCTCACACAGGACGCACCGCCCACACTGACTCTCTCACCCTCATATCCACCTGATGCACCAACATACCACCTCATACAGTAACACACACACACACCAGCAACACTCACACACTCACAGCATGCACCTGCAACACACCAACTCAAGCTTACACAAGCCCAAACGCTGATGCATGGTAGCGTGCGTGCGCACATGCACACACACACACACACACACACACACACACACACAGGCTGCCTCTCAAGCAAACAGACTCAGACACTCCGACACTCATATTTTAGTGTTGGACCCATTCCTCTAATTGGATTTCTATCAAGTCACGCTCAGCTCATTCTCTGGCTGCCAGTCACTGTCTCCTAAAAGCAGTCACCCTCCTTTGAAAGCTGCCTCTGCTCACAGCCTGGGCTGGGTAAACCCCAGCAGCCCACGGCTACCGGCCACAAATGGTGGCCGAGCAAAAGTGGACACCCATCTCCAGAGCCACCTCCTATCCCCATAGCAAGGAAATACCCCGTCAGAAGCCAGGGCCACCAGGATCCCTTGGGGAGCCCACCAATGTGCTACCTCTCCGGGTAACTGTGTCCCCTGAGCAACAGGCTAGCAGGTCATTGAGCAAGGGCTCCCCACACCCCACCAGAAACCCTGGCATTGCAACCAAAAGTGGACACCCATCTCCAGAGCCACCTCCTATCCCCATAGCAAGGAAATACCCCGTCAGAAGCCAGGGCCACCAGGATCCCTTGGGGAGCCCACCAATGTGCTACCTCTCCGGGTAACTGTGTCCCCTGAGCAACAGGCTAGCAGGTCATTGAGCAAGGGCTCCCCACACCCCACCAGAAACCCTGGCATTGCAACCAGAGACGGGGGGGGGGGGGGGGGGGGGAGAACACTCCGTTTCCTAAGCTGTGAGAGGAATGGAGAGTTGCGGGGTGGGGCCAACAGTGAACCCTGATTTCCCCAGAGGGGCCCGAGGGGCCCTGCTTGGCTTTTCTTAACCCCCAAATCCAGTTCCCCTTATGGGTCCTGCCCCTCCTACCAAGCATCACTCACCTCTTCCAGGAAGCCTTCCTGGATCCACCAGGTCCAGCTGCCCAGCCAATGACTCTGTCACATCAGTGCCCTGGTCCCCACCCCAGCGCTACCACCCCTCTCACCCTTCACTGTAACTGTTCTCCTGTGGAAGGGGGGATGGGGGCTGACACCCATGTGGTGAACTGTGAGGCAGGCTGTGGTGAGAAACCTAAAATAGCCCCTGTTCACTAAGCCATTGCAGAGGTCTTCACCTCAGGACCCTTCCCCCAGGGCAAAACCATGGTGTCTGAAAGGCTCCAGGATGTTGCAGGGCTGGTTAGGGCCAGGGAGAGAATGGAGCTGGGAATGGCATCCAGGGATTTGAGGCACCGAGGGGACAGATGGGGGGTAAGATGAAAACAAGGGTTACAGGATGAGATGGAGGTCTTCTCACCGGAAGACACATGTGTCTCAGACAGCACACAGGGCCGATACTCAGAGTCACACACCTCTCCTGACACACACACATTCCCTCAGCTATACACGGCACCTCATGCAGAGACTCTGAGCTCCTCTGTGCAGATTCACACACACACACACACTCACAGACACTTACATCTTCAAGGATACCCACACCCTCATATACACATAGCTCCAGCCCTCACCCATCTACACGCACACACACACACACACACACACACACACACACACACAGCCTCTCCACAAGAATTGCATGTATAGAATGTATAGCACTGTGTGCCAGCCACTGCATTAAACAGCTCACATATATTACCTCATTTTATTCCTACAACCACCTTATGAGGTAAGTATTATTATTGATAAGGCAACTGAGGCACAGAGGTTTAGAAACTTGCCCAAGGTCACACAGTTGATTTATCCTGGCATTTGGCTCCAGAATCAGAGTCACTTTTTTCTATTGCCTGGTCACAGGCCTGGAAAATTACAGCCATTCCTACAAGCATTCACAGATGCATGGAGCCCCATAGGAACACACAGCCCTTCCAGATGGCAGACCCACACAGAACTCCCTTGTGTGAAAGAGACAAACATAGTCCTGGCCAGCGGGACTCAGTGGTTAGAGCATCGGCCCACGCACCAATGGGTCATGGGTTCGATTCCCGGTCAAGGGCATGTACCTGGGTTGCAGGTGCTCCACCCCAACCATGTGAGAGGCAACTAATTGATGTGGCTCTCTCACATTGATGTTTCTCTCTGTCTCTCTCTCCCCCCCCTCCCCCCTCCTTTCTCTTTTCTACCCTTCCCCCTTCCTTCCAAAAATATATAAAAGACACAAACTTATACAACCTCTGGGGTCCCCACATAGTTACCATGTTGCCACACAGTTACCACAATGATTTTAAATCAGCCGAAGGGGAGCCCCAAATCCTGCATGTCTGGAATGGGGTAGGGATCAGACACTGTCAGCCACTGAGAAGGAGGCCGAGGGCTCTGTGGGCTGAGGAAGAGCCGTGGCGGATCCGACACCATGGGCAGCTCTCAGGGCTTTGCACTCTAGACCTGAAGGGGACCAGGGCCCGGGGCTAAGCCTGACCCTCTGGGCACCAGTGTGTTGAGGGGGTTTGAGGGTGTGGGGCGCAGGGTGAGGCATCTGCATGGCCCCAGGCAGTGAGAGGGCCACGCTGCATGTGACCACACTCATGTGGCTGTCTCAGAAGAAAGAGATGGGGAGAAACAAAAAAAGAAAAGACAGAGATTGAGAGACACAGGAAGACATAAACACAGAGAGACAAAGAGAATCCCAGTGTGATGTGCTGGTCTACCGACTCTTAAAGGAAAAACAAGAGGCCCTGATTTGTCGCCTTTGCTGATTTCCACGGTGTCAATATTCCCACCATGGCTGATTGCAGGTTACTGAAGTGACTTCCTGAACGCTGGGCTGGAAAGAGATTGGCAGATTCAGCTCCCCAGAGCCAGCACTAGCCGGCTCCAGCACTTCATGCCAGAAGAAACAAAGAGAAACAGAGACAGAAATGAAAAGTAGGGAGGCAGAGACAGAAAAGGGAAAGGGATCTTTGGAAAGCAATCCGGCTCCCTAGAAGTCTGGGAGGCAATGACTATGCGTTTAAAATGCGATTTTACTGAACACCTATTCCGTGCCTGGTGTTGATCCAAGCAATTCCCACGCATGACCTCACTTAGTGACCCCAGGAAGTGGCTTTTATATTATCACCCCTGTTTTGCAGATAGGGACTTGATTCTGTTCGTAAATATGCCTCTTGAACATCTGGTTGACAGGAGTCAGTTACCAGAGGCTCATCTGGGCCAAAATCAGGTTGTGGATGTCAGAGCTGAGGTCTGACCTTCAGCATTTCCTCTGTGTGGCCCTACCCAACTGCGGAACCTTGAATGAGTGACATGAGCCCTCGGAACCTCAGTGTCCGCACCTGGACCGTCTGTGCGGTTGTTGGGAGGCTGGAAGAAATGTGGCTGCTGCCCAGTGTGCAGTGGCTAAGGGAGGCTGAGAACCACAGGCTTCCAAGCTGAGGGCCCCCAGGGACCATTCCTCAGGCCACCTCCCCCCACCCCACCTTGTGTGTAGGGGGAAGTGACTTGCTCGAGGTCAAACAGCCAGACAGGGGATTCAAAGCCAGGGCTATAAATTCAGGTCCAGGGTTCTGTTCCTGGCACCGTGGCTGTGTTCTCCAAAGACTGAGCAGGAGAACGTCATCATGCCTTCCCAGCCCCTGGCCAACTGAACATACCACCCCCTGCCATAGCATATGGCAGCTGGCCACCCAGCCCGGAGCCTGCCTCCCTCCCGCCCTTACTCCTGGACATAGGAGCCGAGGCCTACACATCCTTTCTTGAGGGCCACGCTTCCCAAAGCCAGGACAGGGCTGTGATATAGAGCCAGGATGTCCTGTTCCTCCCCCCCACTCCCAACCCCTGCCAAGTATCTGTAGGATCTGAAGACAAGTTTAGGGGCAAATTCTACCCGGCACGGCAGCTAGCTTGAGACATTGGGCAAGTCAGTCAGTTCACCTTCCTGAGCTGCAGTTTCTTTGCCTAGAAAATAGGAATAGAAATCGCTACCTCATGAGGTTGCTTCAGAACATCAAGTGAGGTCAAGCCCCTGCAAGCACCTCCAAGGTTGAGGGAGGAGGAGTAGCAGGGCTGAGGAGAAAGAGAGGTTCCCAGGGGGAGGGGGAGGCCTGAGCTGGCACAGCTGCCTGGGGGATTTCACCAAAAGGGAACTGGGCCTTTGGGCAGCAGCAGGAAACCACCATCCTGCAAGAGTTCCGGCTTCTCCTCAGGGCTCAGGGCTCTGGGCTCTCAGCCCCACGGCATCCCATTTGTCACCAGTTGTTCCGGCTTCTCCTCAGGGCTCAGGGCTCTGGGCTCTGGGCTCTCAGCCCCACGACACCCCATTCGTCACCAGTCACCTAGACCTGACCCCACCCCTGACTTTCATCCCTCGCTGATGCCCTCCACCCCTCCTGCTCCAGTGCCCTTACTGAGCCCTGATCTCCTTCACTAAGGCCTTCACCTCTCCTTGAACCTCCAACCATCTCACACCAGCTTTTTTTGAGGCCCTTACATTCTCCACCCGTGAACAGCCAGGGGCGGAGAAGACATACCGCAATCTGAGGCTACTACCCTGGTGTGGGGAGCACAGCGGGGGAAGGATGGGGCAGGGGAGGGGGAGGGGAACCTATCTTTGCTACACTCGCTTTACCCTCCATATGGTCCTGAGGGTGTCAGCTGAATTTTTTCCACTTCTTGTGGGTAAAAGTGGTTTTTCATCTGTTGCTGAAAACACACCCATCAGCCTCTAAAGCAGTGGTCTTTAGGGACTCCAGTTTCTTGGGTGGCTCGGAGGAAGCGGAAGGAATGAGTCTACACTCCACAGTGTGGCCAGACAGGAAAGGCCCTGGCCCCCCCTTCCCTGGCTCTGGAGCCCCCCGACCCAGCCTCTCAAGGTCTGGCCACTTCCTTCTCCACATCAGCCCCAGGTGGCTGCAGAGACGCCCGAATACCCACACAGATGCTTACATGCTGATGCCCATCCACTCAAAGCCCAAACCTTACACACACTCTCACACCTCATGCCCACCCTCACGCCCCCCCCTCATGCCCTCCAGGGATCAGGAGCCAGCCACAAAGCCCATGGAGCCCAAGCCTTCTTCCCCCCCTCCCCCTGCACACATTCCAGAGGGGCAAGTCGGTTCACCTTCCCGAGCCGCAGTATCTTTGCCTAGAAAACAGGGATAGAAATCGGGATTTGGTCGGGAGAGGGGGGAACTCAGGCCTCAGCTCTGGCTGCTTCCTTCACCACATCAGGGACAAGACTGCCCGGACTCTGGGTCCCTCGTGCTGGCCCTGTCAGTCACTGACTCCCAAACCGCCTTCCTCTTGTCTGTGAGGTGGGAACAGAGCCTCGCTCTCCCAGCACAACCACAGATGGAAGGAGGCCAGATCTCAAACATTCATGTATTTGTTAGATGTCAGCTATGTGCTGGTCCCTGGAGGCCCTGTCAGGCTTTCGGGTGCCCCTACATGCTTTTGAGAAGGTGAAGGGAGGCTCCAGGGTCAGTGATAAATCACTCTGAACCCCTCCAGGATACTTAGCAAACACTGCTTTCTGCACCCGATGCTCCTGACCCGGGATGGGAGGGAGGTGGGGGCTGGGAGGGGCAGAGGTGATGTTCCCCATAAGTCACAGGAGGAAAATGAGGCCCAGAGAAGCCTCATAACCAGCGTGAAGTCACACAGCAATCAAGGGCCCAGTCTGGTCACGTCCCAGAAACTGCAGACCACCCACCCCGGGATCCCTGAACACTGATCACCGTCATCTCACTCCTCTGTCCGCAGCCCTCCCAGGTCCTCCCAGGTCCTCCCGGACGAGGACCCAAAACAGGGGCAAAGCCCTGGTTGCTGTGGCTCAGTTGGTTGGAACTCATCAAAAGGCGGCGGGTTCGATTCCGGTCAGGGCACATACCGGGTTGCGGTTTCAGTCCCCCGGGAGGGTACCGGAGGCAACCGATAGATATTGCTTCGCTTCTCTCTCTCTCTCTCTCTCTCTCTCCCTACCCCACCCCCACACCCCCTACCCTCCTATGTCTCCGTCTCCTTTTTCTCTCTTTCAAATCAATGAAAGAAAAAAATGGGAGCGAAGCGGGGAGCAGAGTGGGCTGCGAGGGCACCGCGCTACAGCAGCCAAGCGCGGGGCTGAGCGTCTCCACCCTCTCGTTGCCATGGAGACAGCCCCTCCCAGCGATCGCGGTCAAAGGCAGGATTTCCGTCGGGGCGGCCAGCAATTCCCGGATCCCGAGCAGAACGTGGACCGAGACCGCCGCTCCGGGCAGGGAGGGGGCACCCAGAGAGGCCCATCCCTGCCGAGGGCGGGGACTTCCCCAGGAAGCGGGCCCGCACCTCCAGCGCCCAGAAGGAGTCCCCTGACATTCCGAGGCCCGCCTACCGGTGGGGGGCGGAGGGTCCCGGGGCTGGTTCGCGATCGCCTCCGCTCCCTCTTGGCTGCGGGCTTCGCCCCACTTCTGCCAAGGCCAGATGGGGGGACTTAATGGCCCTCCGATTGCACCCCACATTCCGC